GAACAGGCTCCAACGTTAGACAGAGAAACCCTGTCTCGAAAAACAAAACAAAACAAAAAAACCAAGCAAACAAAAACCAACTCTAGAATTGCACGCTGAAACAAACATGATTTTTTTTTAAAGTCCACAAACACACACCAGTTTTTCAAATGGAATCAATTTTATCATCCCCAATTAAGATCAATTAGTTATTCACAAATTTGACAACTTTAGAATCATCGCAGGAGGCAGGTGTGTGTGTGTGTGTGAGAGAGAGAGAGAGACAGAGACAGAGACAGAGACAGAGAGAGAAAGAGAGATCCACAAATGCTGATTTATGAATCTTATCCTAGAGGTCTGACATAATTAATCGGAAAACCAACCTCAGCATCAGACATTTTCAAAGCATGGGATACAACTGTGCAAGCTGAGAGCCACTAACCCAGGCTCCAGTCAATGAAAAACACCTTAGATCTTCCCTCACAAGGTCATATCATTAGAACCTTTCCCTCACTGTGTGACTGTTTATTTTAAATTCATTTAAAAGTAAAGAACAGAGGATGGAGAAATGTCCCCATGGTTAAGAATGCTGTCTGGGGACTGGAGAGATGGAGAGTTAAGAGCACTGTCTGCTCTTCCAAAGGACCCAGGTTCAATTCCCAGCACCCACATGGCAGCTCTCAACTGTCTGTAACTCCAATTCCAGAGGATCTGATGCTCTCCTCTGGCCTCCATCAGCATCAGGCATGCATGTGGTATGCATACATTTACACAAGCAAACAATTATTCACATAAAAATAAATATTTATAAAACTAGAGGATTAAAAATTTTGTTGATGGTATTGTGTTGATAAACTGTCTTTTAGCAACGTGTGATCAAGACTGGCCTTGAACTCATAATTCTCCTGCCTCTGCCTCTTCACCCACATCCTACTGTGTGCACAACCCCACAACCAGCAGAAACCATTGCAGGGAAAACTAGCTTTTAAAAAAATTAATGTGGCTTAGCATTCAGGAAAGAGAAGCAGGTGGATCTCTGTGAGTTCAAGGTCAGCCAGAGCCTTGAGCCTAAAAAATAAAAATAGAGCTAGAGAGATGGCTCAGCAGTTAACAGCGCTGGCTCACTGACTGCTCTTCCAGAGAACCGAGATTTGATTCCCATAGGTGGCTCACAACTGTCTGTGTAAAACTTTAAGACAATTCTGAAGTCATGTCTGAGGCCTCTCAGCAGTAGTGTTCCCCCCTCCCCTGGGAACCAAGGACATAACAACTATATATGCAAGTACTGAGACGTTTGGAACTTTCCATCTCCCTGAATAGGGGCAAGATAACTCTTAGGTGTTGACTCAGTTTCTGGTGTTTTGACTCAGTCCCTGGGAAGGAGGCAAAGTGACCAATACCAATATTACCAATAATTGGCTGGAGAGCGGTTGCCAGATCAGATGAGGTAAGGGGCATTTAGGTTGTTTCCAGGTTCTGGCTATGACAAACAAAGCTGCTGTGAACATAGTTGAGCACATGTCCTTGTGGCACAATTGAGCATTCTTTGGATATATACCCAAAAGTGGTATTATTGGGTCTTGAGGAAGGTTGTTTCCTAATTTTCTGAGAAATTGCCACACTGACATCCAAAGGGGTTGAACCAGCTTGCATTCCCACCATCAATGCAGGAGTGTTCCCTTTTCCCCACAACCTCTCTAGCATAAGTTGTCATCCGTGTTTTTGATCTTGGCCATTCTTACAGGTGTAAAATGGAATCTCAGAGTTGTTTTATTTGCATTTCTCTGATGACTAAGGATGTTGAACATTTCCTTAATTGTCTTTCAGTCACTTTAGATTCCTCTGTTTAGGTCTGTACTCCATTTTTTATTGGATTATGTGTTCTTTTGGTGTCCAATTTCTTGAGTTCTTTATAGATTTTGGAGATCAGACCTCTGTCTGATGTGAGGTTAGTGCATGCCTTTAATCCCAGTGCTCGGGAGGCAGAGGCAGGCAGATCTCTGTTAATTCTAGGCCAGCCTGGTCTATAAGAGCTAGTACCAGGACAGGCTCCAAAGCTACAGAGATACCCTGTTTCGAAAAACAAAACAAAAAAGAAAGAAAAAAAAAGGAAGGAAGGAAGGAAGGAAGGAAAGAAAGAAAGAAAGAAAGAAAGAAAGAAAGAAAGAAAGAAAAAAGAGAGTAGTTAAGCCAGGTGTGGTGGCACACACCTTTAATCCCAGCTTTCTGGAAGCAGAGGCAGGCTGATCTTTGTGAGTTCGAGGCCAGCCTGGTCTACAGAGTGAGTTCCAAGACAGCTAGAGCTGTTACACAAAGAAACTCTATCTCGAAAGAAGAAACAAACAAAGGGTTATTAATTAACTTCATTGTTGGTTGGTTGGTTTTTTTTTTTGGTTTTGGTTTGTTTGTTTTTCAGAATACTATGCAGCCCAGGCTTTCCTGAAAATTAATCTGTAGCCACAAATCTTAAACTCAGGTTCTTCCTACCTCACTGATGCAGATAGGTGGCGTTCCCTCACACAGGTTCTGGCCTCTAAGTACTAGGGCTATAGCGATGAACCACCCACGTTTACAAAGACAGCATTTGAGCTTTGGGACCCTCTATACCATTCGGTTGTGTGAAAGAAAGCCTCGAGTCAAAGTAACTTAAACACGACAGGAGATATTTCTCTATTACTTTTTTAAAGATATATTTATTTTTCAATGTCTGTGAGAGCACCTACGTGTATGTATATCATATGAGTGCCTGGTGAGGCCAGAAGAGGGTATCAGATCCCCTTGGAACTGGAGTTACAAGTGGTTATGAGTCATCTGATATGGGTGCTGGGAACTGAACCCAGGTCCTCTGCAAGAGCAGCAAGTATTCTTGACTGATGAGCCAGCTCTCCAGCCTTGCTATTTCTCCCTTATACAAGACCAAGTATAAACAATCCAGGACAGGTATGACAACCAGTGTCAGATATAAGGTCCTACTAAATCCCTGCTTCCTAGTGGGCACAGAGCTTTCACTCACAGCACAATCTCAAGCTCTGGCAGTCTTGTCTAAAATCAAGCAAGCAGGAAGGGACAAAAGTAAGACAACTCTTGACTTTTTAGGCATGCTTCCACAGGGGACAGACAGATGGTTTAGCTGTTAAGACTGCTTGCTGCTTGGGTGGTTTGAACAAAAATGACCTCCAAAGGGAGTGGCACTACTAGGAGGTGTGGCCTTGTTGGAGTGGGTGTGGCCTGTTGGAGGAAGTGTCACTGTGGAGGTAGGCTGTAAGGTCTCCTATGCTCAAGCTACACCTAGTGTCACAGTTTACTTCTTGTTGCCTACAAATCAGGATGTAGACTCTCAGCTCCTTCTCCAGCACATCTGCCTGTGTGCCACTGTGTCCCACCATAATGATAATGGACAAAACCTCTAAAACTAAGCCAGCCCAATTGAATGCTTTCCTTTTAATGCATGACTTTGCCATGGTCACAGTGTTTCTTCACAGCAATAGAAACCCTAAGACACTGCTCTTTGAGAGAAGCAGAGTTCTGTTCCCAGCACCCACACCCACACTGAGCAACACACAACTATCTTTAACTGCAACTCACTTGCACACGAGTGCCATTCACTCACACAGATACAAACACATACACATAAACAAAAATAATGCCCATCTTTTTTTTTAAAAGTTCCTTCCAAATGAGACATTGTCTATAAAAACACTGTTTATCACAGCCTGAGACACACTAAGATCTTAACAAATGTTACTTCTCCTGCAAAGCCTAGGTATGTGTTGAAATAAGGGCGGCAGGGCTGCGTCCCCAACACCCCGGCCGCTTGGCTAGCTCATGCCCGAAATAACAACACACAAACTGTATTCATTTAAACACCACTTGGCCCGGCTAGTTCCAGCTTCTTATTGACTAGCTCTTACATATTGTTCTAACCCATCTCTAATAATGGGGTGTGTAAGCACCCCAAGGTGTGCTTATCGGGAAGATTCTAGCCTCCGTCCATCCTGGGTTGGAGCTGCCTGGGAGAGCGGAGCCTGGCGTCTCTGCTCCAGAGAGCAGAGCTGTCAAGTCTACCCGGGAGAGCTGAGCATGGCATCTCTTGCTCCAGAGAGCAGAGCTGTCGGGTCTCTCCAGAAGCAGAGCAGAGTCTGACCTCACTTCCTCTTCCGCCCAGCATCCTATTCTGTTTTCTCCTCCACCTATGCTTTAACCTATCAGGGCCAGCCAAGCAGTTTCTTTATTGCTCAATGACCTTCCTCCATCAGGTATGGACGCTGGGTTATATTGGCTTCTTTGTATCTCTCTGTCTTCCAGTTGTCTAAAGGAGACTTTTAGAGAGAAGAAGAATCACAAGTATTAGGGATCAGTGGGCAGAAGTTAAAGTTAATCTAGGAAGGTGAATTGCCTCTCCCAGTGCAAAGCAAAATGTGCATAAGTCAGACAAATAGGGATACTAAGAAATATCAGACATACAGGAATAATAAACATGGACTGGAGAGATGACTCAGCAGTTTAGAGTTCTTGCTGCTTTTGAAGATGACCTGGCTTTAATTCCCAGGGCCTGCATGAGGATAGAGCTCACAACCACCTGGAACTCCTATTCCAAGGGATCAGACATCCTCCTCTGGCCTCCAGGGACCAAGCAGGCATACATGCAGAAAAAAATATTTACATATAAAATAACATTTTCAAAAGTATGGTGGCATACACCTTTAATTCCAGCACTAGGGAGGCAGAGGCCGCAGATCTCTGTGCAGATCTTCAAGGTCAGCCTGGTCTACATGGTCAGTTCCAGGTCAGCCAGGGCTACAAATATCCTGTCAAA